AAAATTATTTTCTTTCTTTTATTAATTATTTTTATTCTTCAATTTGACCAGAGAGAGAAAGAAAGGGAGAGTGATTGTGAGTGATCCTGGACCACTAGGTCCAGGACTCAAGCCATGGTCAGCCATGTGGGAGTCCAGTGCCTTAACTACCGCACCACCTGTTGGCCCCCTCCTATTTTCTTATGAGAACAGGCCTTGATTTCATTAATGTCTAGGTATATTATTAGTCCCAAGCAGCAAAACTTGCTTCCAGCGCAAGAAACAGTTATCTAGAAGGTCTTTGCAAAGACTTTGATGATTGCGCTTCTTGAATTGGGGAGACCCATTCATCTCTTCAGTTTTTCTACAATAAGATGTCATGATTTGTTCATCTTTTTTCACAGACCTTCGTCAACCTTTTTTGCCTCTTCTGTGTATTTTGCTCAAATGTATTTAGAGTATATTCTTTGTTGCATTAAAAGGCAGTAGTTATCCACATATTTGTAATCACCTACCTTGTAGAACTGTTGGGAGCACATCCAAGAACCAGGAATTGAAAAATATAGGCCTTCAAGCAGCCAAAGCTGTACTGGGACCAGCAGATGGCATTATGGTTATGTCATTGGGCTCTCATTTAGTCAACCTAGGTTCAAGTCCTGGACCTGGTGGCTTAAACTCACACCAAACATGTGTGCATACATGCCCAAGATCCCTAGAAGAGAAAGGAGGAAAGTGATTGTGGAGGGGCCATCTTCCCTGGTGGGTGATTTCTCACTTTCTGTCTGTCTCTGTCTCTCCAGGAAGCACACGTGCCCTATAGCAAAAATTTCTCTCTAAATAAGGAAAGAAAGAAAAGAAAGAAAGAAAGGAAGGAAGGAAGGAAGAAATCTATGTACTTACTCATGAAAGTATCCCTCAGGGACTGGCAGGTGACTTGTTGGTTGAGGCGCTGTATTCCACTTGGCCAACCACTGTTCGAGTCCTGGACCTGGTGGTTTGCTTTCTCACTTTCTCTCTCATCAAAATAATAATAATAAATATAATGAAATCAATCTCTTTTTAAAAAAAGTATCCCTCAAGCGCTCTATTCAAAGCCTATTTATTTTTAAAGTTATCCAACATTTGGGATCTGACTTCTCAACTACTAAGTAAAAGTACTCAAAGTAAAAGTGGGACTGTTAGGACCAGCTGCTAACTATTTGGAAGGCATTAAGAAGAAAGATTTTAATAAAATACAAGCTGCTACTATGGCTCTTCTATATTCAGATTTTCTTAATTGAGTAGCCCCCAAAACTATCAATACATTTCAGTGTAATAAAAAATAATAGCTTCAATAACAACAGTGCACATGGTACTGACCTAAGGATTAAGAAAGAGTAAATTATTCAGAGATTATGTCATTTTTTAAGGACATCAATTAGAACTATTTTTAACTTTAAAATATTTGGCTTAACAGTGTACGAGCCAGCTCTGTGACACAGTGGCAGTGCACTGTGTGAGAGGAACTGAATCCCACATGGCAACCATGGTTCAAATCCCAGCACATTCAGCCTAAAAACATCAGACATGTACTCAAGTGCGTAAGAGCCAAAGTGCTGGAAGACTGGAGGAAGGGGATTGTCTTTCTTGTTCACGTACATGTAGCCACGCTATTATGAATAAAGAAAAAAGTGTTTGGTACTTGAAGAGTGAACTTTATCCAGAAATTTTACCTTCTCTCTAGGTTGTAGGAAAGCATTAATGCGTATTCTAGTCTCCAAGTTACTTTTATTAAATCGTGTTTGATTGTCTGGTTTGTGGGTTTTCCCTTGTAGAGCTCCCAGATGGTAGACTTGGCAGGTACTTTAAGACCCAAATGGCTAAGTGTTTACGGCAGAGTCACATAACTACCCTCCGTGGTCTCAGCTATACTGCAACACATGTTGTGCTGTTGGTATGCCTGGTGTGCATAGCCATTGCACACTCCTGGAGTCCTCCAGCAGGACCTCCTCCTGACTCCTCGAGCTGCAAAGTCTGCCACTGTGCCAGAGCCTTTGAGCTCCTGTGTGCATCTCTTTGAGGCTGAGAGTAGAAAATGACCAACCAGTCTTTCCCAGGGATGTCACTGGTGACTTCCCTGCTTTGAAGGAAGGAGATGTATTTGCCATTAGGTAATAATCTCTTTTCCTGGCGTTTTCACGATTTAGTGATCAGTGTCACGTTTGTGTTAGGCATTTTCTAAGACATTTCTAGTCTCTCCAGTCTGTGATCTAATGCAGGCCCTTTCAAGAACCCTTGCCACCACTCAGTAAAACTGTTGCTAGGTATGGAGACAAATGCACAGTGTACCCTCTTTGTAAAGCAGTTCAGGTTAAGCAACAGAGTTGACTTACTCATTTCTTGATTTTGTTTTATATTTAGACATGTTTTGGTAACTCTTTATCCATTAGGTCTTAAAAGCCTCCTCGAGTCAGGAACAGAGGACCTAAAATTAGTGCTCCCCTTCTGATATCAGACAGCAGTCCCATGAGAGGCAGAGAGCCAGTCCCCGTTTGTGGGTGAGGAAACCTGGGTTCAGAGCGATTTGGAAACTTCCTCAAGATTCTGTAGATAGTGTCATTGCTAGAGGAGGAGTCGGGTTTTTAAATATCCCACAGCCTGTGCTCTTTCTGCTGTAAGCACTCTGCTTCCAAGGCCAGTGGGAGGTGGGAAGGTTGGGTGAGGTGCTATAGGCTCTCTAGGGTAAGCCTTCCTATAGAGGCACCTTAGGGACATGAAAGGCACTGACTGAAGAAAAGCAGAGTTAGCTGCTCCTCATGGTGTGCCACGGTTCTTGTAAAGTCACAGGATAGTCCCATGAGAAATAGCCTCAGGGAGGGGGTTGGAGACTGAGAAGTATTAAACTCCAGGAAGTTGGAGGGCTCCGAGGGATGGGCCCAGGAAAGCCCCAGAGTCCAGAAGCACAGAGCAGCAAGCAGCTAGTGAAAAAACCTGCTCTTTAAGCGGGCATTGCCTTTAGCCTGTCTTAAATCTAGTGTCATCCTTTTCCCATCATCCCCACTGTCAGGAGAAGCTCTAAGAATCTGGCCTGGGTAACTTAGAGAAATAATCGAAAGGGTTTATTTAGTGTAGAACAACTTCTCAGAGATTATTGTAAAATACTTCCTACGAGCCCAGGAGAGCACAGCAAGCCGGACTTGTGTGCAGACACTGGGCGACCTTGCAGCAGCAGGTTCCCAGTTCATAATGTGGTGTCATCTCTGCTTCCTTAGAAGCTGTGAGTCAGGACTTGCTTGCCACTCATTCCACCGTTTTTTAATTTGCTAAAGGGGTGCATGTGCTCAGGAGAGAGAAAGTGAGAAAGTACCCCTCCCCCCATCCCCAGGCTGGCCACAATCCCCTCCTTCCCCATTCCTCCTCTTAAGATTTTGGGCACATACATGCACTTGCACCCAGCATGTTTTTGAAACTGCCAGGTCCAGGACTCGAGCCACACAGTTCGCCATGCAGGAGCCAACCTCCTTAGCCACCACACCATCTGGCCCCATTCCATCTTTTAATGTGTCTGAAATATGAAAACACTGTTTTTTATTCTCCTATGCCCCATAAAAGGGGTAGGATTCCAGAATCACTGTTAGCAGTACAATAAAATTCAGCCAGTGAGTCATGCTGAGAAACCATCTTAAAACTATAAGTTCTCTTAAGTTCTAGATCAAGATTTGTAATACAGTACCTGAATTTTTGTCAGTGTTGTGGACTTATAAACCAATGATTACTTAACAGGAATACTTAGGCCTGTTATGTGTTGATCAGCTGAGTTAATGGTATGGCCAATATTTTAAAAATGTATTTATAGTATTTAGTGTTTAAAAGATAAAAATGATTTCTGAATAATCACTTAAAAAGTATGAAAGATACTGTCACTAAAAATTGGGAATATAACATGCTGGCCTTAGGTAGGTAAATACTCATTTATTGAATGGAAAGTATGTGAGAAGACTTAGAAGCATATTGGCCAGAGTATCCACTCCCTTTGTAATGTGAGTGAATTTCATGATGTAAACATGGTTCTTTGGAAAATGACCATACTAATTTCCTTCTTTCTCTTTCCCATCCAGTGAGAATTCAACAGAAGTGGTAGCCGCAGATCCTAACCAGGTTCCCAGTTCATAATGTGGTGTCATCTCTGCTTCCTTAGAAGCTGTGTCAGGACTTGCTTGCCACTCTCATTCCACCGTTTTAATTTGCTAAAGGGGTGCATGTGCTCAGGAGAGAGAAAGTGAGAAAGTACCCCTCCCCCCATCCCCAGGCTGGCCACAATCCCCTCCTTCCCCATTCCTCCTCTTAAGATTTTGGGCACATACATGCACTTGCACCCAGCATGTTTTTGAAACTGCCAGGTCCAGGACTCGAGCCACACAGTTCGCCATGCAGGAGCCAACCTCCTTAGCCACCACACCATCTGGCCCCATTCCATCTTTTAATGTGTCTGAAATATGAAAACACTGTTTTTTATTCTCCTATGCCCCATAAAAGGGGTAGGATTCCAGAATCACTGTTAGCAGTACAATAAAATTCAGCCAGTGAGTCATGCTGAGAAACCATCTTAAAACTATAAGTTCTCTTAAGTTCTAGATCAAGATTTGTAATACAGTACCTGAATTTTTGTCAGTGTTGTGGACTTATAAACCAATGATTACTTAACAGGAATACTTAGGCCTGTTATGTGTTGATCAGCTGAGTTAATGGTATGGCCAATATTTTAAAAATGTATTTATAGTATTTAGTGTTTAAAAGATAAAAATGATTTCTGAATAATCACTTAAAAAGTATGAAAGATACTGTCACTAAAAATTGGGAATATAACATGCTGGCCTTAGGTAGGTAAATACTCATTTATTGAATGGAAAGTATGTGAGAAGACTTAGAAGCATATTGGCCAGAGTATCCACTCCCTTTGTAATGTGAGTGAATTTCATGATGTAAACATGGTTCTTTGGAAAATGACCATACTAATTTCCTTCTTTCTCTTTCCCATCCAGTGAGAATTCAACAGAAGTGGTAGCCGCAGATCCTAACAATCAGTCAAAGTCGCCACTGGAGAAGTTTATGGTCAAACTGTGTACTCATCATCAGAAGCAATTCATTCGTGTTCTGAGTGACCTGTACACTGAATCTCAGCCAGATACTGAGGACCTGCAGCCTTCTGATTCTGGATCAATGGATGCATCCACTTGCAATGCTGGCTGTGCCCAGCTAAGCACCAAACATAAGAAAAAGGATGCTCTGTGTCTCGACATGAAGTCTCCTACTCCTGTCGATTTGTTCCTAGACCCACCAGGCTCTCACAGCCCTCTGCACTTGACAGAACAGACCCTGACGGAGCCTCTTCCTGAAACAAACTCTGTAGATGGGAGGGAGAATGTCTTGACTGTTGTCCAGAAGGATCCCTCTGAACTTCCAACCACTAAACCTAACTCTGGCAGTTCAATGGATAGTTCTACTCTGGGTTACCTCACTGAATCGAATTCTTCCTCCTTGAACTTCTACCATGTCTCTAAAAGCTTGGAGGGGCAAACCACTGGACAGGAGCAAGACACGAATGCGAACATGTGTGAGGACAGTAAGGACCACATGCAGAGTTCAGCTTTAGTAGAAGGCCTAATTGCGGTGAAAGTGGCCACTGAGAATAGTGAGGAGGGCAGTAGCTGTCCTGTTTCTCAAAGAAATTCATTCAAAGCTTTATCAGAAGAGGCTTGGGACTCAGGGTTTATGGGGAATTCTTCTAGGACTGCTGACAAAGAGAATGCTTTACAGTGTAGCTCAAAAACACCTTTGCGCCAGGATGTAGAGGCAAATGAACAAGACGCAAGGCCAAAGCAAGAGCATAGTCTTCACTCACTCGGAAGACATAAGATGGGTTACCACTTATATCCCAGTGAAAAGGGCCAGTGTGATCATTCCAAAGACGGTCGGTTAGCTCCCAGCCCCGTACCAGCTCTACACAAAGCATCTAACGGACACCCACGCACCAAGATGCTGTCAACCTCCATTAAGACAGCTCGGAAAAGCAAAAGGTCATCAGGGTTGAGGATAAACGATTATGACAACCAGTGTGATGTTGTTTATATCAGTCAGCCCATAACAGAATGCCACTTTGAGAATCAGAGATCAACACTGTCTTCTCGGAAAACAGCCAGAAAGAGCACCCGCGGATACTTTTTCAACGGCGATTGTTGCGAGCTGCCAACCGTTCGCACACTGGCCAGAAATCTACACTCGCAGGACAAAGCAAGCTGCTCCACACTGGCATTGGAGGCTGTGGTCACTCCCAAGCAAGCTCTTACAGTTCCAGCCCCTCGACTTCCAGTAGATGGGCTGCTCCCCAGAGAAGATAGGCCTGAAGAGCCCAGAAAGGAATTAACTTCTCTCAAGGAAGGAGATGGAGACACTTCATCTGAAAAAGAGGCTCAGGAGCCCGAGATTTGCCCTGTGCTGAATGAATCCAACCCGAGCAGCCCTCCTAGATCAGAGGGATCGACAGCCTCCAGCCTGGCCCAGCCTGCCCCTGTTCAACTTCCTGAGGAAGACATGCCGGAAGGCAGTGGCACGGCCGTGGTTCCTGCAGCGAGCGTGGTACCTTCCCCTGGGGGAGAGTCCTTAGCACTGCTGGATGCAGAGGGCGTGAGTGTACCCCCAGAGTGTGACCTGGTTCCTCCCACTGAGAGCATTCCTGGTGGAGACAGGGAAGAAATCGTGTCTAGGCCTCATGCTGCTCCTGAAACAGTCAGCAAAGAAGAAAGTCCTCTGTGCGCGGGAAATCAAGGCTCCCCAAAGGGCTTGGAGCCTCCCCTGAGTCCGGGAGAGGGTGAGGGCAGTCAGAGCGTCGGCACCGAGGCTGAGAGCAGAGACGCGCAGGCGCGGAGCCCCGACCCCCCCGGGAAGGAAAGCAGCACTGATACTCACGAGGACCCCGGTGAGAGCAAGGCGAGCCAGGCAGCAGGTGGTGCAGAGCAGTCGGGGGGAGAGGGCCGTGATGTCAAATGCCTTTCAGAGAAAGATGTGTGTGAGTCCAACATTGACTCCCCCGAAGAGAATATGGACAGGAAGAGAAAAGGTAGAAAATTCCCTGAGGCCTCTGATCGGTGCCTCAGGAGTCAGCTTTCAGATTCTTCTTCTGCTGATAGGCACCTAAGGAATTCGAGTTCAGATTCTTCCTCTGCTTGTCCCGATGTGAAGGTTTCTAAAAACCCTGGCACAAAACGTTCTAAAAAAGAAGGGTACTCTGGTGGGACAGCACCCGAGGACTTCCTGACCAGCAGTTTCCACACAGCAGTTCAGGAGGACACTGAAAACCCAAACGTCGATGAACAGTCCTCTGAGAAGGATGCTGAGCAGGAGGGCGAAGGAGGTGGCATCGTTACCAGGCAGACTTTCAGAAGTATGTTAGCAAAGGAAGTTAAGGGGGAAGAAGGGGAAGTTTCCTCCATCAGTGACCCCATAACCACAGCTGGCCAGCCCCTCCCTGGAGAGAGGCTGGAAATCTATGTTCAGTCTAAGATGGATGAGAAAAACACTCACATCGCCTCAGCAACTACTCCTTTGAAGAAGGAACCAGAGCAATCCAAAGAGAAGCCAGGGCCTACGCCCCCGCAGGCTGTAGAGGACGTGGTAGATGAGGTGGACGGTGGAAGCACCCGGCAGAAGGAGGACGATAGTGGCACCCCGTCCAGCTCCCTCGGGGCATCAAATGGCGGAAGTGGTGACTCTGTCGCACCACCGAAATCAGCACCCCGGCCTAGAAGAGCGACTTCTTCAACCTACAACCTAAGACATGCCCAACCTCTGGACTCCGAGCCCGAGAGAGTGACTGCAGGAAAGGAAGCTGCGCAAGTTCACCCAAGGCCAAAGGAAGAAGCGGCGTCAGAGAGCGGGGACCCCTTGGGCGAGGGTGATGCGGAGACGGTGGTGGATGAGCAGCCGAGGTTTGTGGAGTGGTGTGCCGAGGAGGAGAACCAAGAGCTCATCGCCAACTTCAACGCTCAGTACCTGAAAGTGCAGAAGGGCTGGATCCAGCTGGAGAGGGAAGTGCAGCCGGCACCGAGGGCGAGGAACAGGTCGGATAAACTGAAGGAGATCTGGAAAAGCAAGAGAAGGTCTCGGAAATGCAGGGGCTCACTGGAGGTGCAGAAGTTCTCCCCCGTTCAGATGCTATTTATGACCAACTTTAAGTTGTCGAACGTCTGTAAATGGTTCTTGGAGACCACTGAAACCCGGTCTCTGGTCATCGTGAAGAAGCTCAATACTCGTCTCCCAGGAGACCTCCCCCCTGCCAAGCACCCTCTTCAGAAGTACTCTCCTTCCAGCCTGTATCCCAGTTCACTGCAGGCCGAACGCTTGAAAAAACATTTGAAGAAATTTCCTGGAGCTACTCCTGCTAGGAACAACTGGAAGACACAGAAGCTCTGGGCGAAGTTCCGAGAGAATCCTGAGCAAGCAGAGGCAGAAGATGGCAGTGGCGTCAGCCTCAGCCCCGACTCGGAAGACAGCACGGAGGCAGGCAGTGAAGACAGGGGTGGCCATCCTCCCGCGGACTTGCCCACTGCAGCCAGCACCCGGATCCTTGGAAAATATTCCAATATCCGAGGAAAGCTCAGAGCCCAGCAACGTCTGATGAAGCATGAGAAAGCCGAAAGCCCGTGTGGTTCGGCTGTGGAAAGTAAACAGAAT